AGTTTTTATACCCCCCGCTTGAAAAGTGGGAGGGTATTAGTAATCGTGATTTCCGTCCGTCCGTCTGTTACGCTTTGTCTCTTATCCACAAGTCCTCTTGTACTACAGTGCTGCTATCCTTTAAGTTGACATGGGATGGGATTGGATAGGATATAGGATTCAGGATATAGGATTTAGGATTGGGGATTCACGATAGAACATTAGAAGGGCAATCCTATCCTCTCCTATCCTATCCCATCCCACATCCTTCAGCCAATCAGAATCAAGAACAAGTTTATTAATTTTACAGAATTGTTTTAAGAAAACGAAAAAAATAAAACAGTTTCATCTGCAAGTATCGTCTCGTATGCGAAACAATATTACCCATTACATGTGTTTACTCTGCGAATTTAATTACGTACGATTTAACCGTTGTGAATAAACCGGATATTGCGTCCTTTCAGCGAGTTTTGGAGAGTGTGACGAGTGTCTTATTTTATCGTTTGATTGCTGGAAAATACATCGTTTACCAACTGTTTCAGTTGTTTTGAAGTGTTCATTTGGTGTAAGAAAGATGACTATAAAGAAGAGAAGATTGTTTAATGTTTTTCTTGGTGTATTTACGTGTCTGAAGCCAGCCATAAAATTCGCCGGGATTCGGGGAAATCGAAACGTAAGTTAGTACACTGGCACAAGATTGCATTCATACTATTTTACAGGCGTGTAGCTGTGTGTTCAATAAAAAATAACAAATTATCGACGACCAACAAATGACACAGAGAAATTTCTTATGACATTTTATAGCCATTGGCATTTTCAAGTATCAGTCTATAGCTATCAGCTGACTGTATAATTGTGTAAGTGAAGTCCTTTTGCCACCCTTTGAGCAGTATCTATGTGGTAGTATGTTTTTTTTCTTCCCCCAAAACACTAAGCAAAACATGTCACATATCTGTTTGGCGATCAGACAAGTTCAATATAAGGGGGTCATGAATTCATGTAGTCACAAAGTTTTTTACAGTCAGTATTTAGGCAATTTCATCCACCCTCGTCCTTCCTAGTACGATGCTGAATTTAGAAAATTTACATGCTAGACATCCCACCTTCAATTCTTTATTTTTGTCTTCAATTACGTACTGAACGTAGTAGTCTGTACACGATTACGTGAAATTTCATCCCACAACAACCTCAGATTATGACTAAGTTCGACTATTACTAAGTTGGCCAACACAAACTCGGACTATAACAGACTCTGCCTTAGCCCTACTGTTAAAAATGATGTGTAGCATGCTTTTAACTAATTAATTGATTAATGTTTGTATAAAAAAAGTAATAAAGGTGTTACTACTTAATTTTTTTTTTCAATCAGTTAATGATATTTCTACACCGTAACACGAACTTAAGTGAATTTTCCAGCTCTACACTAGCGTCCATAGATTAAACATTTTATTTTACGCAGGTAAAATTTTATAAAATTAAAAAATAAGGATACACAATAAAACTTCAGCAGATTTATTAATTTTTTTGTGAACCAGATAGTTTTATTTTTTATGCAGTGGGGGTTTTGAGAATATTTAGTTAAATTAATACATGTATTTGATACAAGAAAATAAATCATAATTGTTTGCAGGCCGGGTTTTAAACTAAGTTGTAATCCTTGATAGCCATAATGGCTACTAAATCTTGGAATTCTGGTGCCTATATCAAAATTAATTACAAATTACACACCTTCTATTGAATAAAAATAAAACAACTCTATTTTTCGCTATTTTTTTTATCATCATGTCATTGCTTCATGTTTCTTTTCTATCCATAGAAACATTATGCAAAAATAATATAAATTTGAATTTTCTGTTAAAAAAGATTAATATTAAACATAATATATTCAAGCACATGGCAGGTTTTTTTCATAGATAACAATGATATTTTTTTGTTTGTTAGGCTCATTGGCCCATCGATGCCACATTGTGTCCGTCACAATCACTAAGACACTTTATGTATCGAGTAAATAATCGTGACTAAAACAAATACAATTTAAAGATGTGATGATTACGTGTATCATACATGAACAATTGTAGTTAATAATAGCACATGTTGATGTATATTTTAGATTTTTTTCAATGTTTCTGAGTGTACAGATATTTTATAAATATCATTGATTTCTATTTCAGCATTTCAGGTGCAATATCACTTAAATTACACACTGTGATATTATTTTTTTCCTGTAATTCTTTCTTTAAAATTTTAACTTATATTTTCTGTGAAATAGTTGAAAAATTCCAACCTGACAAACTCCCAAAAATTAAGGCTCCTAATGTTAATTTTTTTTTTTTTATAAATAATTAGCCTAATTCTGTTCTAACGTCCATAATCCCATTAGAATTTATCTTAATACCCAAACTGATATAACAGTTTTATTTTTTAAAATTTGAATTCTCCTATAAACATGATAAACTGCACCTCAAATTCGTTGAGTGGTAAATATGCGTATAAATGAACATTCAACAAATCTATCAATATTTCTTTATTTCAAATATTCTTATAAGATATACTTGAACATGTAGGTGAAGAGGCACATCAATTCTATATAGTTTATAATAAACACAGACCATTTACATTCTCTAATAATTAAAAAAAAAATGGAAAATTTCAGTGGTTTTATTTGTTATATAGACATTCATCAGAGTTAATGTAGTTAAAAATTAATAAAATATATAAATCAGCAATTAAAACAATTATTCTGGTGTTTATTTTAGCCTAATTAAGTGTCAAAGGGACACTAGCTGGCCTATTGTTTGTATGGTCACTGTTTGTATATCCTCTCTACCAGTCCTCCCCACTAGATACATGTATGGATTCCATGTGTCACCTTTGTATAATCCAAGTAAACCGTGGAAATTGATAAGCAAACAATAAAATATTTCATTTTTTTTTTATAAATCACATTATATTATAATAAAAAAGTAGTTATCTCAGTTAATTGTATGTAATTGAACCATTTATTTTTTTTCTTTTATCATGACTGCCATTGCATGATTTATCAGACATTGATATGAAACAATATTGTAGGTAATTTATGTATTAATATGTACCTTCACTTTAATCTTTGAATTTCCATGTGATCCTTGTATTCCCCCTTGCATAAGCTAAAGTATATTTTAACCTCTTTTAACATAAAATGCTCTTTTGAAAAATGTTAATGTTTCATGATAATCTGTTTACCTTGATATATAAAAGATAAGTCAACTGCATGAATTATCCAAAATATTATAGTCATTACTGACCTTAAGTTGTTTTATATTAAGGGGATAAATTAGAAAGACAATTATTAGAGATGTATACACTGATTTAATGATATATACTTGAATCAGTTACAAGGTATAATTACAGCATTTATATTAATGATACATGTTATGACTATGAAGTTGTAGTGTTAAATACTATTAATATGAATTATAAAAAAAAAATTGAATTAAAACTTCATGCTGTCATTTTGTTGATTAACCATGTTAACTGATCTGAGGGCAGAACAAAATGAAAGTAAAGTTTGTTTCGTGATCTTATTTTCTGAATCACAAAAAAAAAAAACAGGGACATTTTTTTTAAATGCAGTAAAATTGATATTCTGATTAAAGGGTGTGAAATATATTGCTTTAGTTTGACTCAATGAATATAATGAATGATCCTGATATTGCTACACAATGTGTGTCGAAATTTATTTGAAAAATTATTAAGTTTTAAATTATCAGGATTATATACAAATATTTTTTTTTTTTTGTTTTTGTTTTTGATTTTTTTTGAAGTTGAAACTATAAAAAAGGTGAGCATGTTTAGGTTTTGTACATTGACAAACTAAGTGTAGGAAGTTAATATGTAGGAGTATACAAAGTTTGTTGTTTTAACACTTAAGAAGCCAATTATGGTTGGGATGCCACCAATTAACGAAGGTCTCTCTACCTGGCACATTGAACCCCTGACAGTAGGTATTAGGGGTATGCAATTTCTGATTGGGTGATAGACTAAGAAGACATCTTGAATTAGATGCTTTTGTAATTTCTGATTGGTTATTTTTGTTGCAGATGAATAGTATATTTAAGAAAAAAATACAGTGTCATCTTTAATTCAGATTGCCTTGAGTGAAGAGATCCTAAGTATAGAACGCAGCAGACAACATGCCACGCCGTCGTCTTGGACCATTACGTAAGTAATATTTTTATATTTGTAGTTAGGCCAAAAGAAAAAATACTTGTTTCGTGTCCCCTGGCCAAAAAATAGGGTACACCTGTAGGTAGACAGGGAAAAAAAACTATTTTCAAAACTCAATGAATCCAGAAGGCTGATATAGCATATATAATAACAAAAATAAACTGTATGTTAACATTTTACAAAGCAAGTTTGTTCATAAAGATTTATAAAGTAAAGCCACCAAAGGTATCCTGTACACTTGTGATGTTAGTATTAGTTCTGTTGGCCGACTTTTGTATTTCAGAAAAATAGCCCCCAAAGAATGAAAATGTAAAAAAAAAAAATTTTTAGGGTCGGAGGGTAAAATGTAGGGTAGGTCAGGTGACAAGAAACGAGAGTAAATTTTATTTTGGACTTATTCAAGGATGCATGATAATTTGAGTTATCATAGTTAAGCTATCTTTTCAAAACCTTCATCATGTTCATATGCAGTACATGTCAAAACTGGAAAAAAGGAGACAATAGCAAATACATAATAAAACTATTATTCTTAAACATTTGTTAAACCAAAAGTTTGTAATGATGCATGTACCTACAATTTGATTGAAAGTAGTGTTAGAAAAATTTCGTATGGTTGGGATGCCACCAATTAACGAAGGTCTCTCTACCTGGCACATTGAATCCCTGACAGTAGGTATTAGGGGTATGCAATTTCTGATTGGGTGATAGACTAAGAAGACATCTTGAATTAGATGCTTTTGTAATTTCTGATTGGTTATTTTTGTTGCAGATGAATAGTATATTTAAGAAAAAAATACAGTGTCATCTTTAATTCAGATTGCCTTGAGTGAAGAGATCCTAAGTATAGAACGCAGCAGACAACATGCCACGCCGTCGTCTTGGACCATTACGTAAGTAATATTTTTATATTTGTAGTTAGGCCAAAAGAAAAAATACTTGTTTCGTGTCCCCTGGCCAAAAAATAGGGTACACCTGTAGGTAGACAGGGAAAAAAAACTATTTTCAAAACTCAATGAATCCAGAAGGCTGATATAGCATATATAATAACAAAAATAAACTGTATGTTAACATTTTACAAAGCAAGTTTGTTCATAAAGATTTATAAAGTAAAGCCACCAAAGGTATCCTGTACACTTGTGATGTTAGTATTAGTTCTGTTGGCCGACTTTTGTATTTCAGAAAAATAGCCCCCAAAGAATGAAAATGTAAAAAAAAAAAATTTTTAGGGTCGGAGGGTAAAATGTAGGGTAGGTCAGGTGACAAGAAACGAGAGTAAATTTTATTTTGGACTTATTCAAGGATGCATGATAATTTGAGTTATCATAGTTAAGCTATCTTTTCAAAACCTTCATCATGTTCATATGCAGTACATGTCAAAACTGGAAAAAAGGAGACAATAGCAAATACATAATAAAACTATTATTCTTAAACATTTGTTAAACCAAAAGTTTGTAATGATGCATGTACCTACAATTTGATTGAAAGTAGTGTTAGAAAAATTTCGTATGACAGTGTTACTTGAGAGCTAATGTAATGTTAAGATGTCTGTCTACCTGTCTGTGTGTCTATCTGTAAATATTTTTAAAATGCTACCTCTACAGCATGTACAGTTTGGGTCTGATTTTATATACACATTATCTTGGGATACAAGTAGTCTACCAATATAAAAAAAAAGTAATTCCTGAATATCTTTTTATTTTGATGAAAAGTGTTGCCGTGGTGCCTAAAAATAGAATTTTCTGTACCATCTTTAACATAATACTTCTTATAATTTTATTCTAATTTCAATAAACAAATGAAAAATAAAAGGAACAGGGGTGAATAATCAATTTCTTACTGTTGCATAAGTTAACGAAGACCAACTTTAAGCATAAACATATCCAGGTTATTTCACTCCACTTGTACACCCCACCCCCTTACTTGCCCCCGCCCCCCTCGAGTGGATTTGTCTCGATTGGTTTTGTTAAGAAATCATTTGATCAGCAATAGAAATGTAAATTAACTGTTAATAGGCACTTTGATTAATTCAATTGTATGTTGCTGAATTAAATTTTAATTACTCTTTCTGATTTAAAGACTGTTAGTCAGATCATGCAGATGGTGGAATGTTTTTGTTAAATATCATAAACATATGAGAAAAACAATTTTACCTTTGTTTGAAATTAAAAATAAACTACGTTTAATTGTTTCATTTTTTCCCCAACAATTTCCTTTTATTTTCCTGAAATTTTGAATAAATATTTACTTTAATTATCAAAAACATAATGGTTTAGAAATGGTAGATATTATATTGTTTAATTTGTAAACAAAAGACACATGTATGCAAGAAAACAAACACTATTGAAAGAACTTAGCAAACTGCATAAATCCACACATGCATAAAATTGACACCTTTAATATTAATTGGGGCAAAACCACTCAGTGCGAACACACTCAGGGCAAACATGTAATGGAGGGCCAACTAATAGTACTTAGACAGATATCTCAGATGTTCTCTGCTCGCAGCTAGGTTAAGGGCGCCCATAGGAAATATGCTTTAAAATATTCTGAGAAAATCAATATAATTTTGATATCTTTTTTATTAGCATGATTAGCATGAGTTTAAATTGGATGGGAATTGTACTAATGCATATGTTTGTATGGGGTCTCAACAAAGTGTGGCCAAAGCGACTTTACCTACATCATCTGTACGTCACATGACATTGTTAAAATTAGAATAAAATATGTACAGATACAAAGACTGTAAAAGTTCAACAATATATGGATAATTTTTCACCAGGAAATTGATTGTGTTTTCTTTAAGACAAATTTCTTAACCCGAAAAGTGCTGGGAGCAACTTCCCCATGCACGGGAATTGTATAAAATGTAGCCGTCTCTTTAAAAACTTTGTGGATTTACACAATACGCATTGAAATAATGTAAAATTACAGCAAAAAGCAGCAGCGCACAACTTGCTCCCAACTTTTCAAAATAGTACAGACAATAGCTACATGTGTACAAAATATCATAATATATAGTTAAGGGAATATCATTGAACTTCTGAGATTTTCTAGGAGGGGGGTGTGTGCATGTGATTGTAGTACATTTGTGTATAAAAGGGCATGACTGCGGCTCTTTAAGACCTATTCGTTATTAATTTAATAAGACTGAATATTAATTAATGCATTAAAAAATATGACTTGATTTTAGATCACGCTTATGAAGTTTTAAATTTCACATTTACAAGATACCAGATAAGGTGCGTATTTACAGAAATACACATTGAATTTTACAAAATACGCATTGAAAATTAAAATAGGGCGAACATTTACGCATTAGCGATTGTAGATACGCATTACACCACGAAAGTACTGCGTACAACAGGTTGAAGAATACAGGTACGACTTACTTAATGATATGGATTAAGGTTAACTCAGTGTTTTATTTTTCTATAAACAAAGTACAGATGTAAAAGCCTTTTAGTGACTATGAATATTCTTGTAATGGTAACGACGATCTCCATTTTGAGGGGAAGAATCAAAGACTTAGATTAAAATCATTTTTAATAAATAGAAAGACTAATATATGCAATAGGCATTTCTATTATGGGTTCATACATGTAGCTTTTTTTATTTCTCTCAACTTGCTGTATTAACGAAGATTCTTTTCTCACGGTGTACTCATGATATGATGTCTTAAATGAAGGAAAAGTTGTTGTGGCATTCCAGTTTCCACCTTAATGTAAAAGTGTATGAAAAAGAAAATTATTATTTATTCACTGAGATTCATTTGTGTAGTTTCACCGTGACGTCATAATTGATTTCCCAAAGCTCTGCATATATAGACTTAACCCTCTCTTGGCAGTCCTTAACCTAGCTGCGCTCAATGACACCTCAGATAGTAATGTTTGGCAGGTTGGCCACCGATTATTGACAAGTTGGCCCATATAAAAGTCACTTTAAAAATTAGGTCTATAAGCAAAATTTTCTGATAAAATCTTAATCCTTTTTCAGGATTGATACTTAAGCATTTGTTTTATGATGAATATTATGTAATATTATGTTATAGTCTTTATGTCTGTCCATCCATTTGTCTGTCTGTTAGCTTAATTTTTTGCGATTTACCTCACTTTTCTGAATTTACTTTTAGCTCAGTTTCAATGAAACCATTCAATATATTTTTAGGTCACCTGAGTAAACTCAGGTGACCTATTGCTATCTGTTTTCGTCCGTCGTCGTCCGTCGTGCGTTAACATTTAAACATTTTCAGCTTCTTCTCTGAAACCGCTGAACCAGTTTCAACCAATTTTGGCATATAGCATCTATGGGTGAAGGGGAACAAAAATTGTGAATTTCGTGGTCCCTGCCCCCCCCTGGGGCCTGTGGGGCTGCTCCTAGGTATTAAATTAATTAACTAAGTACATAGTTATAATTAGCAAGAGTGCCTCTACCAAAATTGTGAAATTCATGGCCCCATGGTCAGAGGTTATGGTGTTACGGCGGGGCCCTATTGATTACATAGTGAAAATGCATTAATTCTTTGAAAATCTTCTCTGCTTCTGGATATCAAATAAACTAACTAGTACATAGTTAAAATGAGCAAGAATGCCTCTTTAAAAGTTGTGAATTTTATGGCCCCAGGGTCGGGGGTTCTGGTGTTAGGGTGGGGCTCTATTGATTATATAGTGAGAATGCATTATTCTTTGAAAATCTTCTTCTCTGCTTCTTGGTATTAAATAAACTAACTAAGTATATATTTATAATGTGCAAGAGTACCTAAACAAAATTAGTGAATTTCATGGCCCCTGTGTCAGGGGTGTTGTCATTTGGTGTAGGGGGGGATCTATTGATTACAGAGTGAAAATACATTAAATCCTTGATAATCTTTTCCTTTGCTCCAGGGTATTATGTCAGTGATCTAAGTGTATATATTTATGATGAAAAAAGGTGCACGTAGCAAATGGTTTATTTCATGCCCCCTGAGTCAGAGGTATCGGGGGGGGGGGTGTAAATAATTTATTTCTGAAAAAAAATTATTGCCTTAAAATCTGCTCTTTGGTACTAATCAACAATTTATGATGAAATAAAATTATGATAAAATTTCCAACATTTTGACATCTTGTGGCCCCAGGGTCAGTTGGTTCATCCTCAGGTAGTGTAGATTCAAGTTTGTACAAACCATGACCCCTTGGGATTGGGGGGGGGGGGCAAAATGGCTGATCAAAGTTCTACACAGGACTAGATAGGGAAATCTCTTTAAAAATCTTCTAAAGTATTTCAAAGCCATGATTAGTATAATATAATATAATCTAATTATTGCATATTACACCCATATGGGTCAAGCAATACAAAAAAGAAACAAAATCAATGAGAACAATGAATTATATATACAATATCCATATAGAAATTTATTCCCTTAATGTTACACCGATGTGGACCTTTTAGTTCTCAATTCTAATGATTGTTTTATAAAAGTGCAAACAGCCGGTATAACTTCAAGTTTTGGTCTTAGTATATATTCAAGTTTCTGAGTAGGTGATTTGAGGTAGAATGAAGAACAATTATCTAACATAGCTTTTATAATTAGATTCCTTGCTTGTATATTCAAGCTACACTGTAGAAAAAAATGTGATTCATCATCAACAGTATTGATCTACATGAAGAACATAATCTTTGTTCTCGAGGTATTTTTGTATGTCTACATGTACCAGTTTCTATCATTAGGCAGTGGTCACTTGTTCGAAATTTAGTTAGCACTTGTCTATTCTTAAAACTATTTTCAAGCATAAGATACTCTTCCATATCGACATTGTGTTTTATTTTACTGTACAAGTATAGTTTTGAATTTTCTGTAAATTTAGATATTTTTTCCATAGTTTTTTCTTTATAATTACAGTACCCGCATCGTTATTCTTTACAAATCTATCGTGTCCTATCGTGCGTGTATCCTATCGTATCGTGCGTGTATCCTATCGTATCGTGCGTGTGTCCTATCGTATCCTATCGTATCGTGTTTTCCGTTTATCGTGTTTGCGTTTATCGTGTAGATCGTTTATCAGGTTCTATCGTGTATCGTGTTTTGCGTTTATCGTGTATATTCGGAAACCCTTGCTTTTTATCTTTACTACAAGAAGAAACTACCCAGGCATTCCGAGTTTTTTTTCGTTTTGTTAACTAAAATAAGATTATTTTAACCAAGAAAGAGAAAAGATAGTTTAATTCCTTAGTTTTTCATCATTAAAAGAAATATTGAAGCGTGGAATGAAAAGAATAAATATATAAATAACATAATTAATAAATTAAACAATTAATAATAAATTAAATCAAGAAAATAATCGTATCATAGACAAGCAGAGAATCAAAATTAATTTTTGAAAATGAAATAATCGATTCCCTGGTTTTTTTTTTTTATTATTCATGGAATTGAGTCACTAGACGATGGTTTTCGGTAAGTCACGGAAAATTTTAATAATAATTAGCAGAGGATTTATATGTATCTTTTTTAAACACAATATTCATTTTCCCCCTATCAATCGTCTGGTTATATTAGGAATGTGTTTTCGCCTCTGATCTGCATGTACATGCATGCACAATTATTTAAAATATTGATTTAAAAAAAATGATAACAAAGCATTTAAGACAATGATCCAAATAATTTTAACACAGATTTTCTCCGTATAGGTACATTCTTTTATACTTATTTTTATCATTATCTAATTAGTTAAATTTCTTGATATGTCTAAATTAAAAAAAAAAATTATATCAAAATATAAAATGTAATGCATGAAAATGCTCTACCCAATTCATCACACCATGCCTGGCAGTTACTATAGAATAGAAGTTTTACATTAATTTTATCTGGCATTTGATAATCTAAAAATAATAAACAGGAAAAAACATTATGACTTTGAACAGCTTACCTTTTCGGCGTGGAAATAAACCAAAATATAATGTATGTCAATATAATATAATGTCAAATCGAAGAGCTTTCCCTACCATAAAGCTGACACGTATGTGTACCTATCTAATCACCACACGGCCTTTCTGTGCGGTCAACACCCCTTCCCCTTCTCCCCTAGCCCCCTAAATGACACCTCGGCCCGTGTGTGTTCACCGTCAACCTTGTGTCAAACAGTATCTATTTTCGTGAACTACATGTACACTCATAATTGATTTTTTTTTTCTAAATCAATTAAATAATTGTACAATTTATGGATTTAAAAAATCATTTCCTTACTTGAATTTAAATAAAAAATCTTATAAATTAATTTAATGAAACAAAGTCACTTAACTCAATCCGCTGATTTATTTTATCTGTACGATGTTTCCATAACTTTATGTAAATGTCTTTTAATGAAATTAAAAAAAAAATACTGCACGTATGGTACATGAACTTTCGGATCATCGGTTTTTCTAACGGATCACCGGGTTTTCATCGGGTTAAAGACAGAATTAATTCTAGGAAACAATTTCTTTGATCGTAGAAAAGATTAAAATAATTATAACATTTTAAACTATGAAAATTTGCTCGCATTACACCCAATAAATTTATAGTATTAACCGATTTCATTTCATACGTATATATCTTTATTTAAAAAATCAATATTATTTTTGGCTACATGTATTTGGTTGAAATTGGTTACGGACTTTCAACACCCCGCCCTTCGAATACGCCATATATGAGATTTCCGGGTAAGTCCAAAATAATTTTCAGGGTTTAATAATTCATTAGAAACAGCAATGATTTATAATTATTTAGTCGCATTTCACCCTTTTAATAATTTTGTTTCTCAATTTTTGTTTTCTATTGTAAAGAAAAAAAAGTCATTCAATGTTTGTTAATTAATACGAGGTTTCAAGTATCTGATGTATAAACGTTTTCATGAACATGAGTTAGAGCTTAGCGAAAACGTACATGTGCAGTTGTAGCAGATTCAAATTCTGTTGATACAGTTTAAAGTATTTATGCAGAGCCCCATTATATTAACAATTATTAAGATTTCTACTCAGGAAATTAATTTTCTTGAACTATATAGTTCTTTAAAGCTAATTTCCTTGGACCTGTCTTTCGGCCGGTCTTCTACATGTATTTGTTCCCTAAGATTTTAATATTTAATTGCGATTTTTGGATACACCGCAGATTGTAAGCTTTAGACATTAAATACAAATATTTAATTTATTGCGTAAATTTCTTCCGTGAAATAATTTAGTATTTGTAGATGAATTTATTAGGTACAAATGTATATTTTTTAAAATAAATAATACATCTATTTAAAGAGTTTCATAAATTTATAATAGTACCCGTAATAAACAGCACACAAGTATGTAAGGGATTTTTTTTGCAAGAATTAGATGTATGTTAAAATATCCATAATTAAAGAAGTCATTGTTCCACCTTAAGATGAGAATTTCAACATTTACACAAATAATTGTAAATCCACACCCTTGAGCAGAAATTAAAAAAAAAACTACAGTTTTCATTTCAAAATAATCCCTTTAATCATAGTCAAAAAATATATATAAAGACACAACTTTTGTAAAATTACCAGTGATTTCAATTTTTATTATTATAATAATTAAATGTACTTTATAATTTAGATTTGAAGCTTTGCAAGTACTTAAATTGAAATATTGTAGTAACTAAACAAAATAATCTTTTCGTCTTGTTAGAAAACGTTCCGCATTTTGAAACAATCCTATCAGGTTTTGCGTTTATCCTATCAGGAAGATCGTTTATCAGGTCTATCGTGTTTTGCGTTTATCGTGTTTTGCGTGTATCGTGTTTTGCGTTTATCGTGTTTTGCGTTTATCCTATCGTGCGTGTATCCTATCGTGCGTGTATCCTGTCCTATCGTGCGTGTATCCTATCGTATCGTGCGTGTATCCTATCGTATCGTGCGTGTATCCTATCGTATCGTGTATCCTGTAAAGAATAACGATGCGGTTACTGTATCTAGTACAATTTTCTTCAACTTCATTTTAACTGAATTTCTAATTTTGTCAAATTTTCAAATCTTTTTTGTTGTAGTCATTGCTATTTCAATTATTTTCTTCAGATATAGACATTGCAAGGGTATGCCAGGAGTAAAATCCTTCTTCATGTATAGATATATTAATATTATATGATTCTTTAATCAAGAGGTTTACATGTTTAGCCGTACAAAGAACATCACGACTTGAGTATTAGTGATATTTATGTGGAATCATCCTCGGGTAGTGTAGATTCTAGTTTGTTTAAATCATAACCCCCAGGGATAGGGTGGGCCACTATGGGGGATGCAAGTTTTACATTAAAATGTATATTACAAAAATCTTCTCAAGAATAGCAAAGCCATTATTAGTAATACTAGTATTTATATGGAAGCATTTTCTGGTAGTGTAGAATCAAATTAGTTCAAGTCATAACCACCAAGGGTCACTTAGGGTAGGGCCATGCCCCTGCGAGGTGAAATTCATAATTTCAGGAACTTTTATGAGTAATTTTGTTAGTAAATCAATTTTCTAAATTTCTAATCATTAAAAATCGCTAGATTTGAACTTTTTGAAAAAATAAAAGTGAGGATTTAGAAATTTTGACAAGTATATTACATAGACGTTTTATTGATATTAAAAACTGGAAGTTCTTTTAGCCTTAGATACCAATGTTTATTAGCAGTAATGTATGGTGTTTTTAAAGATAAGAAACACGTTATACACCTTGCATTATAAAATGATCAAAGAAATAAGAGAAACTAAAGTACTGAGTAAGTATAATTAATACATGTATAAAATTTTCCTCAAAAGCCTGGATACTTACGATTTTTATTCCTAAAATGTATTAGTTGATCAATTTTCAATTATGAAAAAATATACTGTTGGTAGTTTTATTCGCATTTCCTGAAAATTTATTTGAGATATACTGATTTTTATACGCCCGTCTTAAGACAAGACGTATTATGTTTCTAGGCTTCTTGTCCGTCCGTCTGTCTGTTAGTTTTTTCATTTCTGGCTCATAACTTTAATACTATTAGGCCTACGATTATCAAACTTTGTCATCTGATGTGTTCTTGGGTAGAAGGTGTGTCGCGCACAAAAAGTAGGTCGCTCTGACCTTTTATTAAGAAGTTATAGCCAAATATGGAAAAATTCTTTCCAGCCCATAACTAGAAAACTATAAGACTTACACTCATCAAATTTGGCCAGTTTATGCATCTTAGGTAGAAGGTGTGTCGCGACCAATTTCAAGGTCACTGTGACCTTTAATTTAAGTGAAATTTAAAAAAAAATGTGTCTTTTTACTATTCATTTAAGCATCCCAAATAATTTAAGAGTATTGCATATTGCACTAATTTTGTTGAAACTATTTTTCCTGCTCAAGTGTTAATTAAAAGTAAAACAAGTAAGTTGTAAATAATACAGAGGAATAACAATATAGATTTCCTTGGACTTGGAAGGGAATGATCTTTACTGTACATTAGGGGCAATGCTAATATATTTTTAAAATTAAAGATCATGATTATTGAATCAGAGTTCAGTTTTTCAATTTTTTCCATTGATTTTCAGCACAAACCAAAACACCTAAATGGGCTCTAGTTCTGTTCGACTGGGATGGATGTACAGCTGTCGTTGAAACAAAGCGGTTTGATAATCAGCAGAATTTACAGACTGGCTGTCAGACGAATTTGTCCTTTGAGGGGAGAATACACCTGGTGGAGATTCTCACTCTGACAGGTATGCATATGTAGCAATAAGGCCATAGTAAAAATATTCCTAGATTCTCATCCCCGTTCGCCCCAATTTTTACCCCCACCTCAATTTTTTTTATTTCTGTTGTTCTTCGTCTTTATTCAGATCGGAATCAATATTCAACTACTATTCTATTTTCATTTTAAATCCTACGAATATCCGCATGATTATGACGACTGAAAAATGGTAATTGCTGTAATACCTATGTAACAAGGGTCATTGGTTGTGAAAGATGGGTGATGATGTGAAGTAAGAGATATATGACTTCTACTTTTATTTGAGTATTATATAGATAAATTTACACGGGTCTACCAGGTCAATAAAAAATCTGCAAAATTGAAAAAAATATTTTAAAAAGCCACCCGCTCGTCTCGATTGTTTTTTAAAATTGGATAAGAATCTTGGAATTTATTTAATTTGGCCTAAATTGAATTTCAAACAGCCTTAATTTTAGTTTGGTTTATGATTCACTTGATCAGCAGATGGAGCAAAGAAGAGCAAGAATTCTCACTAAATGCGAAAAGAAACACATTGGTACAATGCATAATTAGTAACATGTTTTAACTTTGATTTTTATCACAGACTCCGAACCTCAAGTGTACAACAGAGACAAGGAATGGGGTAGAGGAGTCAGGGCACATGCCATCTCAGCCACGAGGGATGCAAGAGAGATGTGTCGAAAAGAAAAGTATGGTGGCTTTCTGGATATCAAGGAGGATAGCGAGAGTGAAGAGGTATAAAACTTATTTGTATTGTTATTTTTTTTTAATTCTTGTACTGAAAAAATCTTGCATAGGTCATTTGTTTTATGTCCAGAAAACTCCTGAACTTAACTTCAGAGAGTATATGTTCTTGTTCTATGATATGAGTATGACTGTAATTTAACCCAACCATATTTGGATTTGTAAAGAATTTTTAAGCAATGAAAGAGTACTGGTATTTTTTTTAATGATAAATCATGTAAATACATGTATAAATTAGAAATCATAAGTTGTTTTTTTTTTGCAGGATGAAGCTGAGATTTTTGTAAGGAAGACAAAACAGCCAAAGAAGCAGCCTAGAGTGGTATGTACACATTTTCGATTTATTTTTAAAAAGAAGCTTTAAAATTTAAGTAAGTAAAATAATTCATGTGATATTTTTATGTCTCAAGACTGACAAAAAGGTGACAATTAAATTCAAAACTGTAGAATACTAGTTGTTTTTTTTTAATCAAACATTTTAAAAATTTATTTCAATTAAATATACAGTAAAACTCATTTAGAATGAACAGAGATAAAGCAAATTCACCTTGTTCACGGATATAGCGAAGTTTTTCAGGGTCCCCAGAAAATTTTTTATCAATTCTTTGTAAAATTTTATGGTTATAATGAACTCTGATATAGCGAATTTACAGGTATGTATTGCGAACTGATTTTGAGTTTAAAAAGAACGTAACTTACATCTTTATTAACGAATTTTCAAAGATCGCAAAATTTGATATTTTGAACTAATTAATTTTCATTATGTGTTTTATATAAAATTCAATTCATAATAAAACCTAACTTATTCAAAGTATGTTTTGTGAATATTGCTTCCCTAATTTATTTGGTAGAAATTCTTGAAGGAAAAAGTGGATATTGTAAATTTGCTATTTTATATAGTGATACAAATTCATTATACAGATATAACAAGTCATGGATATAGCGAATTAAATTGACAAGTCCCCGGGTCTTTATTACAACCGAGTTTTACTGTAATAAGGATAAATTAAACTAGGCAGTCAGACCATAGTCAAACAGTCTTCATTTTTTATTCATTTATTTATTCATTTATTATTATTATTTATTTTTTGCTTCTTAGGTACTTTCAAGGTTGTCGACACCAGTTCCAACAAAAGACAAAGGAACCACTGTTCAAGAGGTAATCTTGTCTACTTAGAATAAAATCTTCACATTTGAACCTCTTTTGCAATGAACTTCCCCAAATGACCTTGGGTCAAGGTCATGACACACCCTTGGGTCATGGGCAATGAAAAGCAAATGTGATTTCTCTAAGGAAATTTAATTGATAGTGTAATTATAAAGGTATGGCATATTAGTTTTGGGTTCATACTAGAAAATATTAGACCAAAAATCATCAAACTAAATCATTCTACATATAAAGATGACTGCTTCCTTTAATTAAGTGAATTAAAAATATGGCCCAACATAAATTGGTCTGTTCATTATCTCAGTAAAAATTGCACACATTCAACTCAATTTGACTTATAAATTTGTCATATAAATAAGCCAGTCATGCATGTGTTTGACCATGGTCCAATGATATAGTTCTCCCTCTTTAACTTAAAAAAAGAATATTTTTAGAATTGCATATGTTGGTTTTTTTTCTCAACCAAAAAACGCAGGTCAGATTTTAATCATTATTTCTGACAGTTATCCCTCTTGTTCTGAACTTGGAACAATTTGAATGTTCAATTCCACCTCCAAAAAATCAAATTTTAATTTTAGTACTAGTTATTTGTTTTTGTCAAAAGAAGAAATGCTCATGTAATTCCTTTTTTTAATAAAAAACTGGACCTGAAGAAAGAAGCTCATCTGATAAAGAGGAACATTACCCTATAGATATAGAGGTAGGCATTTCTGTATATCTTTAATATTCTTTATTAGAGTTAGGGGTTGGGGATGAACATTAAGTTTAATCCACTGTCATAGTAAGGTATATAGGAATAAACATGTCCATCTGTCTGTCTAGCTGTTAGTATAGCTGTTTGTGCAAATGTTTCCAGTCAATATCTTTCATAAAAATTAACATTAGAATCTACTACTTGACACTATGATTGATCATGACCTAAGGGGGTGTCGATACATTTGTGCAAGTTCTCACTTTAGCAAGTTCAAGTTCATTGAAAGAAGTTTATGAATATTTCATCTTAAATCTACATGTACTTCTTCACACAAACATAGCTCATAAGTCATATGCAACACTGCTTGAAAAAATAGCTTTACAAAATAAGTAAATGTATTGTAAATTTAATATTTACATTTACTTTAATCAGCTTTACTGTTTAACGTCAAAGTTGGTAAAGGTCATCTTTACATCAACTTTACTTGGCCTTAAAGGTGATGTAATGTCCCACATTGAATTAACTTTACTGCAAAGTAAAGTAAAGATTTAAGCAACTTTAATTGTCCTTAAATAAGAAGTTTAATTTCTTTAATTTAATAATTAGAAATCCTAAATATTAACTTTACTTGCAGTAAATTTAATCTTTGCTTCATGTAAAGTATGAATTTACAAAATTAAATCAATTAAAAGATATTCTTAAATATCTACTTTAATTGCAGTAAAGATAATGTTTACATACTGTAAATTTCATCTTTAAATAAATATTAAGTTTAATTTTTTTCCTAGTATAAAGGTAATTAAATCCAAGTAAATCTAAAACCATTGATTGAATAAAAAAGTGTTCAGAAAGTTTTATTAATAGTTTATTCAGAATACAACTTTGGGTAATACAGCTCATCAGTTTACAAAATAACAAATATGCTACATACATGTATAAATATAATACAATGACTCTTAATGAGTCTAAACTGGGGGATGAAACCCCAGGTCAAATGTTTATCAGTCCCACAGTTCCACTGATATTTCACAGAATACAATTTTAATACTTTTGGATTTAACTGTACATAATAATTCAATGTTATAATACAATTTGTACCTAATAGTTGGATTAAAATAAATGTTATTAAGTATAATTTTGCTTCAGGAAATTGTTGTTTACATCAAATCATGATACATTTGAAATTCAATACATTCGTAGAAAAACTTCTAATTAAATAACCAAGAGAATTTCTCATCAATGTCTGGCTTTTCCTGCTCTTTCACAGATCCCCTTGTTCTTTTCTGGAGAAGCCTCCTGCTTCTGGATGGACATATTTCTAAATACTTTTTATCCAGACTGTCTTTGATTGCCCTCCAGGCATCACTCTCCCACGAGTAAGGGTGCGATATGAATCCCTCGTCAGCCTCCTCATCACTGGACATCAGGTTGTGTGCTGATTTGGATTTTAATATCTCAGTTACCATTTTCTTCTTCTCTTCACCCCAGTTCTTTTTCTCAACAGCCTGCAGGCGACGTCTTGTTTTCTGTAATGAAGATAAAATGAATTTTAATCTAAATTGCAACAGTGACTTTATTTGTATTTTTATTCTGGAAATCCTCAGTGTGCCATCACAAAAGTCAAAATAAAATAGTATTATGCTTGCTCCCTTTTTTTCTTTAGGTAATAAAATTATGTATTCTCTCTATCTCCATAAACAAAAGGTAAATATTTTAGAAAATCTGCTTGAAGAGTAGACAATCAAATTACATTTTATCAAGTTAATTTCTGATAAGGGGTTTCAAAATACTTGCCTCTTTCTTTCTCTCGTATGTGGCTTGTCTCTGTTTGTGCAGGGTATCCTTGTTTTTGGATTTCCGGTTAGCAGCCTCCTTTTTGGATGTAAAGTATCTCTTTACAGCAACTGCAGAAATATAAATAAAAATGATTTTATAACATTTTTCTCACTGGTTACAAGATTTGTTACCAAATATAGGCAGTTACTTGAGTAAGAAAAACTAGTGTTAATAGTTTAATACCTAAATCAGAAAAGCTTATAAATTTTGTAAAAGATCACAAACAGTTCCAACTGATTTCATAGGAGGGTAACTTTAGAATTAAGATATTGTTTTAGGTGTTTTATTGGGATATGACATGAAGTCGATCATGTGAACAAATTCTATAACTCCCAAAGGATGTTATAGTACATTTGATCATGTCTACATTTCATTCCTTATAGAACTCTCAAAAATATATCTTATTTCTTATATTTATATTTTCATTTTTTTATTCATGTGACAAGGAAAAATAGGCACTATTTGGACTTTGTTAGGGAAATACAACATTAGTATCTATGACGTCATGTGATGTCACAATCATATGACCTTACCTTCTAAAACTTCATTAGCTACTTCAGGAGCAACTCCCTTTACGCTTTTCTTTATAAATTCAGTCATTTCACAATTCTCCTCGTCATAGAATCTGCAGAATATTTTTTAACATAATTTTACAAATAAAGGATGGTCATGGAAAGAAATTGTTACAACATATAGTAATCAGAACTCAATTTGCATTTATATATATATATATGTTTATGAACAATTTGCCATTATAATTAACCAGTTATTAAACCAACTTGAGTCTTTAAAATCTTCATTAATCTCATTATTTCTGCATGTGCATAATTTTTAAAACTGTTTAAGAGACACAAAGGAGTATCTCGGTCAAGTTTAGAAATTTAACAGATGTGATCATGAATTACACAGTTGCAATTATAAATAAAAAAAAACATCTAGTAATTACTCATCTGAATAATTTTGAGACAAGATTCTTATCGATCAGTACACATGGTAATAATTCTAAACTAACCTCTTCCTGTAGTCCCATTTTAATTCCATATCCTCCCCATTGGCAAAGTATTCCTTAACAGCAGTCTGCAAATTAAAAAATATATAAGTAGAATTTTTAGTGAGGATTTAATTTTAGCATTATTACCGAAGGTTCTGAGATCGCTAAAATTAAATATTGCTAAAAATAAACTGTCTTTAATTTGCAATAGCTTTAAAGTGAGCATTTTCAAATCACTACAATTACATCTCGCTAAAAATAAAATTTGTGTCTTGCTAAAATTTCCACTTATACGGTAATATGCTGAGTTTCAAATTTCCTTCTCTTGAAAGTTCATGTTCATGTGTACACAAAGATTCATAATTTGACATGTGTATAAAAATTCATATAACATGGTGGAATGGAAATGAAAATCCATACTTTCAGCTACGAGAAAAACAACTTAAAAGTCTAAAAAAAAAAAACCCTCACCCAAAAAATCTTACCACATTAAAAAAAAAAATGCCAACCTTGGGCCAAGTTAAAAAAAAATCTTTGTTTGCAGTTGCCAACCTAAAATTTTTAGGGTAAGTTGGTAGGTAGGTATGATTTTTTTTAAAAATAGTTTATATTTATAAAGTTTTTGTTGGATTAAAAATCAAAAAAAAAAATTCATAGGTTTACTTAATGTAATTAAATCTCTAATTCTTTAATGCCAATTATTGACAGAAGCAAGGAAAATTAAACATGTAAAACAAGTTTCATTATCCTTAAAATTTGAAACTTCCAAGAAAAATTCTTTTCAAATAATGGCTGGAAAAAGTTTGAGTTGGGGGCATTTTAGTGGATTGGTAGGCAACTGCAAACAAACCATTTTTTTTAAAGTTTCAAAAACACTCTGATCACTCATATAAAATGTTGCTTGAACCTTAATGGTTTTCCAAAAGAAATGTATTTTATAATCAAAATACAAACAATTATAGCATAGCTTGCGGGGCAAAATTGGACAAAAAAGATGCTTGAACGTTGCAGATTTATAAAGGAATAATAGACATTTAAGTCATCGAGTTATCTCTCTTATATATCAGAGTATCGATGAACCTTATATATTAATGAATCTTTAGTGAGCAGAGGAACAAGATATTAGAAGTGACTTACCCTGATTCTATTGGGAACACTGACTGGTGCTTGCACTTCTTCTCTTTTTCTTTCAAATTCCTGTGCTAGTCCTTTAATGTCCCTCTTAATGATCCCAATGTGGGCAAGAATTTCCCTTTGATTTTGAAGGATCTCTTTAAGCTGTCCTTGCAAACCTTTTCAATAAAAGCATAAATATTTCTTAATGCAAGAATGAGCATGATCTTTTTTTATTTTATCAGAAAATTTAAAGCAGCTCTCCATCCAGGATAATCACTTAATTTCTTAGAACATCATAGAGCTATCTTTGTAAAATACACTTTTTAAATAAATTCAAGGACTTCATATAAATATCAATTTGAAAGTGCCCGTCTTTTCATTTTTCATCTGATAAGAAGATGAATACATGTACTATCCTATAAATTGAAAATAAAAAACAAGAACCAAAACCAAAAAAAAAAAAAAAAATCACAATCAAACAATAAAACTGATGTCAGATAAAATGACAGCTGTAGGAAATTGACTTGCTTATAAGGCACTTTAAACTTTCACTTGTTGAAATTTACATTGATCATTACCAATTATCGAGAAAACACACCCAACTTTCAAAGAGATATCAGAGAGAAGACAGCTGCATGTAACTTACTTTTACTTTGTGTTTTGCTCGATGAAGGTGTTATCCTGCTTGTCTCCATGTTTAGTGGTTGTGTCCATGCTGGTTCCAGTCTTGAGGCTCCTTTATTCTGCTTAACAAACAAAAATTGAAAATTAAACTTACCCAAATATTTACATGTAATATGTATGAGTTTTACCATTATAAATACTGTATACAAGGTTAATTTTGCCCCTTGTAATTTTCCCCATTTCACACATGCAAACAATTTTGCCCCTTTTTAAATTTGCCCACTCCTAGTTTTGTTTAAGGAATTTTACTGTATTCTTTGATTTCGCCCAAATGAAAGTAGGGCTAAAGAGGCAAAAATAAAATGGGGGTAAATATATATCCTTGTAATACAGTATTAAGTCTGAATAAGGCCATAATAAAAAAAATTCTAGATTCTCA